GTGTTTCGCAAAAGTAAAGGGCTTAACAGCAGAGAACAATGCTGAACTCAAATATTGCAACTAAATTGTATTCTGGTTGGTCTTCCGTACTTGATAATTACTGTCCAACTATAAACACAAAAATTACATTTCTTAATTACCATGGCTTGGTCCAAATTATACAATTTTCAAAGCGCTAGACAATGACAATCTCACACGGACATTTTGAAAGGTCGATGTTGCTTTTAACTAATGTTAAAATATTTTTTAAAAATTCAATTTAAACATTTTTAAAATCTTTTAAAATTAAAGAAATAAGAAATAATTGTATTAAAATTCAATTTTCATTGAAAAAATTTTTTGCTTTCAGAAAATATTGTCCATATTCATAAAAACAAATTAAAACAAATAAAAGCATTTGAAACTAAATAATATATTTGTTTTATTGAGTTTTGTATGTTACAATTCACAGCTGATTTTCAGACGTTGGCCAAAAAAAAAAAAATATATGATTTGCATTCTTCAAAGCCTTGTGCTTTTAACTATTGTAATCACTAAAACCGATGGTCTCGAATTTCTAGAGTTTTCATAAAATTATTTATGGGGGTGTTAATAAATATAAAAAAAATATTTCTGCCATGACTTTAATAAAAAAAAACATATTTATAATAATTTCGATCATCTGTGAATAGTTTCTGAAAGTTTCATTAACATCTGACAATTACTTTTATTTTTGCAAGATTTTCCAAATTAATGTGTAAATACAAAAAAAAAAGCGCTAAAATTATCTATGTTATTTACTACCTTGTTGCGACAAAGAGAAAAAGGTTTTTAAATCAAAATTTAGAATATTCTAAAAAGATGGAAAAATTTTAAAAAATAATTAAAAAAATTTAGTCTATCCTCTTCATAAAAAACATAAGCATTTTGACGATAAAATTTTGTTTTCATAAACTTTGGCGTCTTTTCATCAGACTATGCTCTATGTTTTAGCGATTCCGTGGAGGACTTAGGTTAAAAAACCCAGGTTGTTTATGTGTGTGTGTGTGTGTGTGTGTGTGTGTGTGTGTGTGTGTGTGTGTGTGTGTGTGTGTTTCCTTTATATATGGGATCGGATTTCTTACATTTTTCAGCCAATAAAACAAACATCCACTTTTTTTTTCGGCAGGTAGTATTTTTATTTTCTTGCACACTTTTTTCTTTATTTACATTCGAATGCTTTAAAAATTCCATTTACAAGACAATTGTTTATAATAAAATTCTATTCACCAATCGATAGACTCATAACGATTGTAAACAATGTTTTTGTTTGAATTTGGGTTTGACCAATTCGTAAAGAAAAAAAAAAACTCATTAAGACATACGTGTCCGTCAACTTTAAACAATAATCTTTGTCAATTTTATTTTTCAGTCTTTATGATGGTCGATACTTGATCTATCACTTACTGTTACATCCCCAGGGCAACGCCGGGCTCTACTGCTAGTATATATATATATATATATATATATATATATATATATATATATATATATATATATATATATAATATTAGTAGAAAGAAAATATACATACATATGCAAAATATATAAATACCCATACATGTATATTTTTAGAAAAAAAATTCCAAGAGGAAGAATCCAGGTAGAAATCAATGTCTAGGACAGAGTAAGGATATAATAAAAAGGCTTAAACACTAATATTCCATGGTCATAATTTATTCCATTGGAATCGTAAATACGATCCAATTCATCAGACCTCAAATTCAAAAAAGAAAACAGAAAAAAAACACTCCGGAAATAAAAACAGAATTTAGAGAGAGTGTAAGTATGAAGAGGATGGAGATTAAACCTTAACAGAGAGAATTTTAGGAGATTCCAATGGAATAAATTATGACCATGGAATATTAGTGTTTAAGACTTTTTATTATATATATATATATATATATATATATATATATATATATATATATATATATATCATCTCGATCTATGTGCCTCAGAACATGAGTAATTACAGTTCTCCATAGCTTTCTACATTTTGTTGTTGTCAGTAATATTTATTTACAACCATCCTTTGTGGAAATTATTACTCCATCCATTTACATAAAAAAGGGTTATTCTCTATTTTTCTATTCCTTTTGCAGTCCAGCATTCTCCATGTGCCATGAGAAAGACCTCCTTTTCTTTTCACACTCTTTGTGATTTTTTGAAAAAAAATTCTTTGTAATTTATATTCGGGCTGAGACAATTTTGTCAAAGTTTCTGTCCAGTTTAAATACAACTCAATCGCTTCAAGTGTTTTTGTTCGTTTGATTCTTTACTCAATATCTGAAAATCGCTAATTTTTTTTTTTTACCAGCTATCACCCGATCCAAGGCAGTATATCCACTAAGTCACAAAGGCTTCGAAGGTGTAAAAGAATTAGAAACAGAAACATAAACGATAAGCGGGAAGAGGAAAGAGTAGATAGCGATTGACATTACATTTACATCTTTGAAGATTGATGTTGGGTGGAAAGTATGGAGCTGGAAGGGAATTCCGTAAACGAGAAAATAAAATAAATTGTTAGCATAGAATTTACGGTTAACTCTAGCTAAGGCAACTGTAAATTGGTGAGATCTCGAGGCGAGACTAGTACAGCGCTTAAGTTCAAAAGTCTTAAACAACTTTTGATTTACGTATTTCATTTTCTGATTCCTGCATTCACAGTGAAACATTGTTTGTGAAGTATAAAGGAAAATAGGCTAACGATTTGTGAGAAAAGAAAAAAAATCTTCGTTTTATTCCTTTATTTCCTCTGCTTCTTCTACGGCTAGACCGTTTTTTATTTCTTCCTCCTTTTTCCATTTCTACTTCTTTTCTTCGTTTTTCTTCTATTTTCAACCGTTTTTACTTTTACTTTTCATTTTTTTAGTTTTCTCCAAACTCCTCTAACACCACCACCACCTCCCCCCCTCCTCCTCCAAATCACTGCTAAAACAACAACTTTGTCTGAATTTCGAGCATGAGGAATTATCATTATTTCCTATATTCAGGCTATTGTTCTCGTCTTTGCTGTTTGAGTCAAAACATTTTGGCTGCTGGGCTATTCGGTCTTCCTCGGGCGTATATCGATCAGAATTTCCGGTAGATTACCCATATCTATATGCACCCGAGGAAGGTCCGTGACCACAACTGCCGGAACGCAGTGGAAAAACAACAAAGATGAGGACAACCGTCCGACTATAAATAGTATAAATAAAAACAACAAATATATCATCCTTCTGAAAAACGATAAAACATTTTTAAAGATTGTAGTTATGAGGGAAGCAAGGAAACGGAAGAAATTTCCACAGGCGGGAAGTGCAAGAAAAGAAACGGTTGGAGTAGAAGTGGCGATTACATTTAAATAATTCAACAGTAAAATGGTGGAACCTAGATTTCAATCTAGTAGCACGCTGTAACTCATGTACGCCAGGCACCAGGGAAAAAAACTCGCCAGAGCAGCAGTCATGAAAATATTTGTAGAAAAGACAGGTGAGAAATTGACTGAAGTCAGGATGACAAACCAGGACCGATTATATTGCAGATCCTTCTTTAGGTTTTGTCACGAATCTCGAGATAAGTAGCAAGAGCAACAAATCAGATATTGTAACAATATCCAATGCATGGACGAATGGTAGATTTTTAAATGTGCAAGATGGACTGACGAGAATAACCTTCTGGCATAACACATTGACCCAAATTTCATTGTAGTAGATGCAGCTATTGACTTAATGTCGTCGTTTCATTTCAACTCAGTTGAAAACGTGCTTAATCATCAATTAGCGATAACGGAAGATTATCTAGTAAAAAAAAGTGTTTAATCCTCCAAAATTCATCAGCGAGAACCTTTGACACATAGATATACAATATCTACAATGTTACGATATGTTTCTCTCACTCATTACTCCCTTTCTGTCACTGACAATTAGTCGGTAAAATTTCCCAACTAAGGACAATAATAGTAGCACATATAGACCATATGCCTTGTGCTATTTATTACTACAAGAACACTTTTCTTCTTGTGAAAAGATGACTGATTTTAATTTCACTCAAAAATAAAAACAGTGCGACTTAACTGGATCGGCTGAAGACAGCCGTAGAGAATAACGCAAGCCTGACCGTCTTCTACAGAAGAACGACTGCAGTCGCAAAATACCAATGTGAGCAGCATATGACGTCTTGACAATCAATATCAAATCAGTCCAATAATATATATGATCACTGATATTTAAACTTTTGTATCCCCGATTCTTCATTGTCAAAATGTATTATTCCGCATTTCTCGTATAGAGACTACGTTTCTTAAATGTCCTCTGTAACACAGGTTTCAGTAGAAACAGCAAAGAGAAAGAGAAAAAACTAACTTGAAAAAATACAAGAAAACGAAAAAGGCTAATGTCTGTAGAATAAAAAGAAGAGATAGTAAAATCTTCAAGTAAATGTCAGGAGACAGATATCTTTGAACTGACTGCATTCATTCTCCATCATCCATCTTGGAATGCTCATAACTAGAATTTCAGTAAAAAGTAATGTGACACGTTTCAGGAATAAGTAGATTCGTGTCTTTTTATAAAATAATTAGTTAGAAATGAATATAAGCGGTTACGGGTGGAATTTGAACTTGGTTTAAAGTGTTCATTTCTGCATCGATGACTTTCAGGCTGTGTCTCATTGTGAGCGATAAGACTAAGAAGAACAGCAAAGTTAATGAAGAAGAAAAAGAAAAAAAGATGATGAAGAAGAGAAAAAGTAAAGAAAACGAACTGGAAGAAAAAATGAAGAAGGAGGACAAAAGAAAAAAAATGGTTTTAAAGAAGATAAAAAAACGAAGAAGATGCAGAAGAAACGGTTTAGAAGAAGAAGATACGAAAAAACGAAGAAGAAAAAGAAAAACGGTATAGAAATAGATGAAAAAAAAACGAAAAAACGGAAGAAGAAGCAGAGAAAGAAAAAGAAACAAACTGTTTAGAAGAAGAGGAAAAAAGAAACGGAAAAACGAGAAAAAACAGTTTGGAAGAAGAAGAAGAAGAAGAAGAAGAAGAAGAAGAAGAAGAAGAAGAAGAAGAAGAAGAAGAATTTGGGAAGAAGAAAAGATGGAAAAGAAGAAGAAAAGAAAAGAAGCAAGAAGAAGAAAAGATAAGAAGAAGAAGAATGAAAGAAAATGAATGTCCAAATTAGAAAAAGAAAAGTGAAAATTCCAATAAATTAAATTGATCAATAAACGGATGGAAGAAGAAGAAGAAGAAGAAGCGACAGAAGAAGAAGAAGAAGAAATAGAAGAAGAAGAAGAAGAAGTGGAAGAAGAATCATAAGAAGAAGAAGTTTTCAACATTCGTCCGTCATTATCGGTCAGAAGAAGAAAAGAAGCGGCTCTGAAGAAGAAGATTTCTGTTCATCAAGATTTTCTAAGAAGTTCCAACGTGGAAGAAGAAGGCAATTGTTCTCAATCATTTGATACGGGAGAAGAAGAAGAAGATTCAGAAGAAAAGATTAAGAAGAAATTCGACAAGAAGAATATCGGTTCTGTCATCCGACTAGAAGAAGTCTAAGAAGCCAATCTAAGAAGAAGAATCAACTGAAGAAGACCATTAACGCAAATCATCCGAAGAAGAAGAACTCTAAGAATCATCGGAAAAGAAGTTTTGCTTCTTCTTCGGAGTTTGAATGAGAAAGCTACAACTGAGATGACTGCCTTCAAGAAGAAGAAGAAGAAGTTTTAGTCTATCTTTTTAAGAAGATCAAGAAGAAGAAGAACACACACAAACATACACACACAGACATATAAATATATCTTACTGATTCAAAAGTTATTTTGTCGATATCCATGTTTAAGTAGAAGAAGAAGAAGAAGAAGAAGAAGATGAAGTTGTCTCCATTTTCATATATATATATATATATATATATATATATTAGAAGAAAAGAAGAAGAAGAAGAAAAGAAGAAGAAGAAGAAAAAAGGCGCATTGTAAAAGAAGAAGAAGAAGAAGAAGCCTTCAAAAGAAAATAAAAGAATTAAGAATTAGGAAAAGAAGAAGTTTCAAACAAATAATATAATGGTGAAATGTCACGTCATGTTTGTCCTCCTATATGGCAGAGAATGCTGAACGATCTACTCACAGATGAAGAAGAGACTCGAAGCAACAAAAATGTGATTCTACAGAAAAAATGTTGAGAATACCATGGACCATAACATGTATTCGAGAAGAAGAAGAAGAGAAAAGAAGAAAAGAAGAAATAACAAGAAACCTAAGAGAAGAAAGAAGAAGAAGTTGAAATTCATAGAAGAACATGAGAAGAAGAAGGGCTTGAAGAAAATAAGAAGACAGTGGTAGGATATACCGAAGTCAAGGGGAAAACAAAGCAAGACCTACTTAAAGATGTTGTGTAAATGGTTGGCAGAACAGGGTTTAGGAGAGATAACAAAAAGGCATTTACTAAGAGCTACAAAGAACAGAAGATTGTAGAGAGCCATGATCACCAACATGGCACATAAAAGAAGAAACATGTCCTGATGAGCTGTAGTTTTATTCCTTCTGTTGATTGCTGTATCCCTATTCGAACTTACATCCCAGTAATGTTCTCTGTTCCATTATTTCTCCATTTGTAATTACTATTGATTTTATGTTTATCCTATACCTGAGGTTAAATGCTATTTCTAAAGTAGGCAGTAATTCTCGAGGCTGAAGCTTGCTATTAAGCATTCCTCAAGACAACAATCTGAATAATATACCTTCTCTGATCTGTGATGATCGAAATCTATTTCGAGTACCTTATAAATGGTAATGGCATGAGGACGATATGATACCGAAATCCGAACGCATATTCGAATAGCAAAGGTTACATTCTATAAGGCAAACAAAATACTAAGAAATAGGAACTGTTAGAAACAAATAAAAGTTATATTCAAATGCTACGTAATATTAATTCTTCTATAAAAATTTGATTCACTGTGTTGTGTGAGACAATTTTTCCTCTCCAGAATCTATCTTACATATCTATAAGTCTACAAATTAGGCCATGCTTAGAATATTGATGCCGTGTATGGTCCGGTGGCCCTGCTATTTATCTTGAGCTCCTTGATAAAATACAAAGAAGAATCAGCAATGTTATTGGTCCCGATCTGGCGTCTCGGCTTCAGTCATTTTCCTACCGCCGTAAGGTTACCTCTATATGCCTTTTCTATAAGTATTTTCATGATAAGTATTCGGATGAGCTCTTCTCTATGGTACCTAGACTTTTTAAATTTAAGCACAGTCGAGACTGGCGTCGAAATCTCAGCAATTCATAGCTGAGCTGGCTAGAAGTATTTTTCTCGCACTTCACGCCTGTGGAACTCCCTTGGGGCTCCTTACTTTCCAGCCAAATTTAATCTACAAAAATTTAAATGCAATGTCAATCGCTTTCTACTATCCTCCTGGTTACTCTTTTCTCTTCCCGCTCATTATTTATGCTTCTGTTCCTAATTCTTCCACAGCCTGTAACCCCTTCTGTCTTAGGGGCTTTGCTGCCTTGCAAAATTAAAAATGATGGTAGTGAATGCAGTATAATTCCATAAAAAATGAACAGAAGGCTTGTGGGAACAGGTATATAGTTGTAAAATAGGGTCCTGAGATTATCATGGACAGCGCATGTGAGTAATGAGAAAGTTTTAAGAGAAATGGAAGCAAAAACGACAGCTATGCAAAGAATAGAAGGAGTTGAAATTTATACGACACAAAATAAGAAAAGAAGGCATGGAAAGTTGGATACTCAAAGGATATATACAAGGCAAAAGGGACAGATAATAGCAGCAAATAACCTACCAGGCGAGCTTGTGTAAATGAATGGCAGAGCGGGCAGCAAGGGAGATAATAAAAAGACAATCATTGCGACGGATAGGAAGTTGTGAAGAGCCATGATCACTCATATCCCGAAGGGATATGGTACATAGAAGAAGAAATTTGTTTAAATTAGTCGTTTAATATTCGTCATTCATTAGGCAAGTCGTCAGTTCTACTGCTGGTTGAAACCTAAATTTGTTTAAATTAGTCGTTTAATATGGGAAATATTCGTCATTCATTGGGCAAGTCGTCAGTTCTACTGCTGGTTGAAACCTAAATTTGTTTAAATTAGTCGTTTAATATGGAAATTGATTCGTCATTCATTGGGGCAAGTCGTCAGTTCTACTGCTGGTTGAAACCTAAATTTGTTTAAATTAGTCGTTTAATATGGAGAAATATTCGTCATTCATTGGACAGGTCGTCAAGTTCTACTGATGGTTGAAACCTAAATTTCTTTAAAATGTCGTTTAATATAGCGTTTATTCGTCATTCATTGGACAAGTCGTCAGTTCTACTGCTGGTTGAAACCTAAATTTGTTTAAATTAGTCGTTTAATATGGGAAATATTCGTCATTCATTGGACAAGTCGTCAGTTCTACTGCTGGTTGAAACCTAAATTTGTTTAAATTAGTCGTTTAATATGGGAAATATTCGTCATTCATTGGACAAGTCGTCAGTTCTACTGCTGGTCGAAACCTAGAAAATGTTTTTTTTTAACAGTTCTCACGTCCACTGACTGACATCATTTTCTCGTGTTGATGGGAGTTTCTTTTTAAACTTTTTTTGTGGGTGGTGTGTAAATATGAGGAGTTATCATCATACTATATTCTTTTGTCTTCTAACTGCATGTGCTACCATATATATGTTGCTACCATTGCACTTGTTCAAGTGATGTGTTTCTTTTTGCTATTTAATAAAAAATTATACACCGCAGAAACATATATTTACTTAACGTAAAAAGCTATTTATTTTGATGAATGTTTGAATAGAAGTGCCTATTTTGTCGGTAGGAATTGTCACTTCTTATCGGGCGGTTGACAAAACTCTTTGATCCGAACTCATCTTCATCTCACAGTCGAATTATTACTTATGGCAATGCCGACAATGATGATTATACACACATACTTAAACACAATCACGTTCGTTCACACACACACACACACACACACACACACACACACACACACACACACACACACACACACACACATATATATATATATACATATATATATATATATATATTGTTGTGGTGTTCTCCTTCTAAGAGTCCATGTTAAACTCTTCCGCCTGCTATAAGTTTAGTAGGAGAGAAGGTTTGGCGAATAGTGATACAGATATGTTTGTTATTGTCGAACTCTCTGCGTTTAGCAGAAGCAGAGAGGAACCCGGACGAGGTTATGCCGGGGTGGTAGACAGACTCTGAACCCGTTTATACGGGTTTTAAGGGAATATTTTTGGCCGAGCCTACGGGCTCGGAGAACCCACGGTAAACTCGGCCTTGTGCCACATACATCCCCCGTGGGTGGTGTTAAATATATCAGTGAACAGTGAATAGATTGAGCGCTATTTCATTCGATACACTTTCGCTAGCCTTGTAATACTCTTCTGATGTACTTACTGTTTCATATACGTTATATCTGCAAACCTGTTTTTTGTTATTACGTAACCATTTACTTGGTGACAACATATATATATATATATATATATATATATATATATATATATAATTTTTTAGTGCTAATGTAGGATGGCTTTTTATAAGATTTTTTATTAAAACTATTTTCCAGAAAATTAGATTGTTCACGTCCAGTAACAGTTACAGCTATTTCTCATACTCATGGGAGTTCCTTCCTAAACTTTATTTCTTTTTGGTAGAATTTTTTGTTTGTTATTGTTGAAAGCGTTCAAGTGATGTATTTTTGCTATTGTGTATATAATATGTTTTTACGATGTTTTACTTCCATTGTATAGTGTTTGAAGAAGTGTTGTTTATCGCATATATTACATTGAATCAATTATTGCTGATTGTATGTGCGTCTGAGTAAGTACGTTGTATACATTCAGCAAATATATAATGTGGAAAAATGATTACTAGATCTGGATAAAGTCAAGAAGGCTGTCTTTTTGATTTTGAAAGTTAGCATCATTTACGTGGACTTAAATAGCGGATGCTGGCACTGCAGATAATGAATTCCGTTTTCATCAATCATGGAGGTTTGAAATGAATATTTCAAACTAGGTGGTATTTAAGAAACACTCTATGTTAATTGATCGTTCTAGCGAGAGAAAAAAATGCCCATTTTTCTGCGGAAATGGCAGTTGAACTCCAAATGACACTATTCAATAGAGGGAAAAATAAGTGACACTATTCAATAGAGGGAAAATAAAAAGAAACCAGACCATGTAATCGCTTCCATTGCCGGGTGTCAACGGTTACTCCGTCAACATGGAAATCTGAATGGAAATAATTCTTTTCGTAACTAATTTGTTACGTTGCTCTTTGCTTGATGTAGGTGTCTGGACAAAATGAAAGGAAGGTAAGAGAACATATAGTTGGGTAAAGGAAAGTGGGAAAAGAAAAGGAACTAGAAGAAAAGGAACGGAAAGAAGAATATTTACAAGTGAGAGAAAGAAAATAGGGGATTTTAAAAGACTGGGTTACTGAATGAAACACACGTGCAAGACGAATATAAAGAAATAGATGGTATATCAAGACATAAAATATATATATATATATATATATATATCTTGAATATTTTGACGTGATATACAGAAACAATAGGAACATTTCACTTTATGTAGCTTGTGATTTGCTGCATAAAGTGAAATTCGTGATTTCGATCAGCATGAATACGTTTCTAAAATTAATTTCCGTTATGTATTTATCTGAACGCCAACAGAATATGACGCTAGGCCGAACTTCAAGTCGGAGACCTGACAAATACATAGGACTACTTCTGTGTGCCGTCTACCTACAGGACTAGGGCAATTATGTCTCTTCACAAATTCCTGTAGCTTGTAGTTCTGACAAAACTTTGTTTTTTTGCGATCCTCACCATTCATTTACAAGCTCGTCATGTAAATCACCCCTGCTTTCTCCTGTCACATTCGCATTCGATTATATCCTGTGCGTACAAAATTCTCCAAACTTTCATTATGTGTCCTTCAGCTGCCTCTTTTTGATTCTGATTCTGAGCATGCCTCCTTTTTTGATTCGATTTTCCTTAAGACTTTCTCATTGTATATGCGCCCAGACCATGGTATTCTCAACATCCTTCTGTAGAACCATATTTCTGCTGCAGCCATTTATATCTTCATCCATGAAGAAATTGTTCAACATTCATGGCCATACTGGAAGGTTGATGTCACCTACTAATTCAGCAATCTCTTGCTTGATTCTAAAAAGAATTTAGTTTCTTAGTACTTTGCTTACCTTTTGAAATGCATCTTTTACACTTCCGCTGTATATTCGGATTTCTCAGTGTCGTATTTACCATCTTTGTTAAAACACTTCCTTGACATTTTAACTACTGCACTTGTTAGACGTTGAAATCTCCAATTCGTAGATCGCAACTTAGGCAATCTTTGTTAGCAACTATACAGTCTCTCTTCTTGCAGTTAATAGTTCTGTTGCGACAAAAAGCTGAAAAAATCCTCTTCCCGTCGGCATTTTGCCTTTGGGTTACCTCTGGCGCCAGTAATTAGCTCTCCCGCGTTGGAGAGACATTACCTGTTGTGAGCTGTCTCTTGGGAATTAAGTTAATTATAAGAAACACGTAAGAAATGCAGTTTTTAATTATTTCCGTTTGTAAATACTAATTCCTTAGTTTACTTGCTTACATTTATTATTTGTAGACTCCATTTATAGAACTCTTAAGAGGCAGTAACGATTTTTAAACACATGGTCTTCTGTCACACTAAGCAAAACATTGAGATTAATGAAATAGAAAAAAAATATTACGTGTGGGTACCAAAAAATGTTGTGTCAGGTGTACCTTATTTCCGTTTTTTGTTTACCAGCTTTATTATTCAAAAAGATAAGAGAAAAATTTGTTTTTATTATTCAATTAAATATTCTCTATTATTTCTCTAGCTTTTCGAAGGCCGGCATATGATACATTGTGATGTTTAATAACTTTCCTGAATCTCTTGAGCGACAAACAATGGATTTCGCACTGCTAGACCCATTGCTGATATTCAAAAAAATCACTGACTCATTAAAAGGAAATACATAATGGGACGATCACCCTAGATATATCGAAGGCCTTTCACAAAGTGTGGCATAGGGGGTTGCAATACAAGCTCTCCAGCTGTAGAATAGCTGGAAGAGCTTTCTCAGTTATCAAATTCTTCCAGATAGGTAGGTTCCTGAAGATCGTTGTTAATGGTCAGTTCTCCGAGGCGAATGGGATCAAATCAGGCATTCTCTAAGGCTCACTTCTCCTTTTTTTGTTTTATATTAACAATCTGACTAATAGCATACCATGATCCTTAGTGGATATATATGCAGTTGATATAATGGTAACTAGGGACACCATTAAAAGTCTAACTGACCATAGTCTAACAGATAATTTCTCCTTACAACTAGTTAACAACTCAATGGTAGCAAAACAGCAGTGTCACGTTAAATTTCTATCATCACCGAGCAGATCCTGAATCTTCGCCTATCGCAATGAATGAGTATTTTCTCAAAGACGTCCCTGGACTTGGACGCTTATTGAGACTAAAGCTGACTCAAGTCCACATGTGGAACCTACTTATACGGTGTATCGCTACAGATGCTGGATATGGACTGTTTTTTGTCCTTCTCTAGAACGTACATGATTCTTCTTGTCATGCACTATATTCACAGATGTAGAAAATGAACTTCCGCTGCCATATCTGTGCTGGAGATGTCATGTTTTCCATTTCCATTGTTGATAGACGTCAAAAGCGTCTACGTGGCCTTGGGGTGATTAATTATTCCCCGTGCTACACATCCTTTCCTACTGAAGAAATGTGACTAGCCTCTCGCTACTCTGTCTTTGTTTTCATGATAAATGTTTTGACGAGTTACATTCTTTAGTTTCACCAAGTCTAACCGACCATTCCACGTACACAGTCTCGCACCATCCTCCTTACATTCATATTCAATTAGTAAGATGGAGATTTCACTTGAACAGTTCTTCTCACTAACCGCTACTTTGTGGTAACTATTCCAGAGAGGATTATTTCCCGACTGCTACAATCGTAAACACTTCATATCTAGAGTTAACCGCTATCTTTCCCACATATCCCCATAGTAACTACTTTTCTTGCGTCAAAGTCTTACCGCTCATACAACAAAATCCTTCAGTAAATATCTACCTTGAGTAGGTCTTGGGCCTTGTATTGCCTGAATATTTGCCAAAAAATTCCCATGTACATTGCCGTGTATTGTTTAGTGAAAAACAATACAAGGCAATGTATAATTTCATCATTAAAGTCATTAAACTCCGATATGAGTTCATCTTGCAGAATTAAATTTTTCAGCTCACTTTCGTATTTGCCGAACTTCTTGACTGTAAACCATACATGTATTCTATAGTCTATTTACTTTTATTCCCTTGCTTGAACTCCTATAATATTTGTGACATAAATACACTTTCAGTCCCTCTATAAATAGAGTTAAGTATTTTTTTATTTAATTCGCTGTGTATGCTGCAAAACATTGAGATTAATGAAATAGAAAAAATAAAAAATAAAAAAAACAGGACGAAACGGCCGTCCAGTGCTTTCTGCATTCTGTTGAGGTTTCTTCTAGACTCGATGAATTACTTAATTATCTCAATATCATTTCTGTAGAAACCAAGGTATATTAGTGTACTCCAATCTTATTCATAACTGTCACGTAAAATTAGTACTTAGGATATTAAATTCGTCATTAAAATTTGTTTAAAAAAAACAGAAAATATTATGGCTCGATCTAATACCTTGGAAGATCGCTAATACAGTAAGGATTTCAGCAGCTACACGATCCCTTTTACCTCCCATAAAATAGTAATCTAAAATGTACATGAGCTGTGAAACATGTTCAATAATAAATATTAAAATGGCATTATTTTCTATAAGAATTTCATAGAGGGAAATTATATCTATAGCTAAATTTTACTAGAATAGCTTCCAACGTAGACATTATTTCGTACATGTTTTCATCCTTGTTAGGTACAAAGCTACATTAATGGAAGATCCCTGGAATGAAGACATGTATACAATAATTTCTACATCTCTCTAAATAATATTCTGCATATATTTTGTCTTGTCTTTTCGCAATAAAATTTCTATCTCTATATTCTTTTGCAATATCACGATATAAGCAATCAGGTTAATTTAACATATTTTTATTGTTATTAAGTTTAGTGGGACACTGAATGAGCATCAAACCCACTGCCCTAGTACAAGCTTGGTAATCATGGAGAATCATGATGGCCCAAGCTGAGTGCATCTTAATTACATTTTCTAGTTGGTCAGTTAGTTACTTTTGTTTCGCGCTTACTTTTATTTAGTTATTTAATGCCGAAATCTAAATATTTGATACGCAATTTTTCTTTTATTTGGTTTTCCTTTTTTTCTATAATAATGGTTTTAGCGATAAAATTCTTACTAATTCACCCATAGCCGAGAGGAGAAGAGGGGTATTCATACATTTCCCAAGGGTATTTGTGCATAAGAGAATGCAACAAACAAAACGGGAATGGGAATTTGGCTTTCAGATTCACAATTCCGAGTCATTATCCATTAAAACGCGTACATCTAAGCTTTCGGCCACTGGTAATCTCAAGCGGTTACCCATCTAGGTACTGACCAGTCTCGACGTTGCTTAACATCGGTGATCGTACGGGAACTGGTGTTTCATGCTATGGACGTAAGTCCTCATTTATAGGAAGAAAGCGTATAATCTGTGCGATCAATACTTAAACAGGCCAGTTTCATTCAAACTGACCGCCATGATGATTTCTGATTTAGATGGTTTAAATTAATAATTAATTCACTGATTTAAAATAATGATTGATTAATTTTAATCAATAAACTGATTAATTTAAGTTAATTATTTTTTTAAATTATTTTTCTATCACCTCAGATATCATCAGGTTAGTACAATAAATCGTTCCCGGCATTCTCGGGTTCGACAGAGTCACTTAACTGTTACAAATCTGCAAACAGAAACATTTTTCGAACTGTTGCACAAGTGTTCCTTTATTGCATTTATTAGGCTAAATCCTAAGTAATTTACGTTTTGGGGGAATCAGTTGTAATGAGGAACGAATAACCCTAACCAACCGTTCCTTTAATATATCCTAACTAGTGATGAAAAATGGTTCACATACAACACTCTTCAACGCAAAAGGTAGTTAATTGACAACGATTAATCTCCAAAACCACCGCTAAAAACAAGACCTATGAGAGAAAGTTAATATTGTGCTTGTGGTGGAATCATCTGGGATTATTCATGCAGATTTCCTTAAAATGCAGTGAAACACTAAATACACATTTATACATCCAGCAGCTGGAATGTGTCCAGAAAGGTTTGATTGAGAGCGCCCTGCCATCGTCAAAGCAAGGTAGCATTCTACAATAGTAAAAAAAATGAAAAATACAAACTCGGTTGATCTGTTCACCACTACTTCTCATAATGACCCGATCATACACCAACCGATTACTTTTGAAATCGCTTCAAAATGCATTGATGTTGACAAATTTATTTAATGAAAAGCTGGTTCAAATGTCCGTCAAAAATTCAGTCAAATTAAAACCTGCCGAATTCTACTCAAAAGGTTTGAAATATTATTTGATAAGTAGCAACAAGTCATTGTAAATATTGGTCTGGTTTGATTTTTTTACGGCATATCAATCTCAATGGTTTATTTGATGCCGACAATACTTGTTGCTGGTAATACTTTTTTTTCCAAAAATGTATTGCTGGTAATAATTTTTTACAAATTATTTCTGGTATTAAAACCTATTTTTACACTTTCATGGTGTTTTGATCCCAGTTTAGGGGTTAACTATTTGCCTATAGGTGAAACCCTAACAGGTGCTGCCACCCCGGGTCAGGGTGGACCTGGGAACACCAGCAATTAAGAAGTGGTTCCACGCTCCTCAAAACCTTCTGATCAGACACCTTGCTATTGGACGTAGTTTATCGTCTTACTCAGGACTCGGACGTAGTTTATCGTCTTACTCAGGACACGGAATAAGTTTATCGTCTTACTCAGGACGCGGACGTAGATTATCGTCTTACTCAGGAAGCGGACGTAGTTTATCGTCTTACTCAGGACGCGGACGTAGTTTATCGTCATATCCCTGACGGGTAAATAATGGTGAATACGGAACTGAATAAAATGTAACTGGAATTCATATTCTGAAGTACAAATTCCATAAACAAAAACGGAAATTATTTCTTCTTAATTTGAAAGCCTTTAATTTTAAATGAAAGTTCTGGGAATTGTTAAGTATTTATATACGATCAATATTTCAAACTAGTATCCTGATCTTCGATTTTTTATTACACATTTTTGGTCGATATTAGCATCGGCCTTATTAAAGTGTATATTCCAAATGTCGACTTGTATATCTTACTCCTACATTTCTCGAATATGTGTAACAACATTTGCTCATCCGAGAAACATTACTAAGATGAGGTACGTCGAAAATCCCCATTACTACCTTTTAATGTATTTTCTATTACTTTCGAATGAGTAAGCAGGGGTTCATGTAACAATATAAAGCTAAGCAAATAAAGCTTCACTTGATTGGTTAGTACATTTACAGATAGTTTCTGCATCGCTGGCTATAGGCGATTTCGGAAATTTATAGCCGATCGTAATTACTGTTATACCGAAATGTTATTTATTTTGTATGAGATCATTCACATCTCGAAATCATTCTGTTACTTAGAATTTTAACAACAAACGCTACAAAATCGCTTTTATTCAAGAAACAAAGTGATCAAGAATGATTCGCACTGTAGTTTAATTAGGAACATCTTGCAGTTTTGCGTGGAAGTAAATTATTCAATTATTGTTAAATTTAGTACGAATTTAAAAAGCGTCCTGGATTCAATTTCAAAGTGCATTGTGATCAGGGCTACCTAACGATTTTAGAGGAGAACAATGAAGGAAACAAAAAGGGAAGACAATAGACAAATTAAAAATTAACAAAACAAAGAAGAGTTGTAAAAGATAGAAAAAATAAAATGTAATAAAAGAGGAATAAAAGACAATTGAGGAGGCAAAGAAAAGGTAACAATGTAAACAAAAAAGTTTAGTGTTTAAATTGCTCTCCCGGGTAGGTTGTAACACATTATTAGTCATCTCTTAGTTGTGTCTCTGTTTTGGGGTAGAGTGTGCTCAGGGACAATTTCGTCAAAGGGCAGAGAGATGCCTAGCCCTGGGGAACAGCTGCCCGAGGTCGCGCCCTGTCATTGCACCAGAGACAGGGATCAGTGCTCGCACTGAGGCCAGCGCAACCGAACTAACAAACTTGTGTAAATGGATGCAAAAATATCCTTGAGGAGAGATAACAACAAAGACAAGAAATTGCTATGATCTCAAACGTCCTGAAGCGACACAGTACAGAAATAAGAAAACAAAATGGTAGCAAAACAAAAGCATTAAATTAGTCAAAAATGTAAGACAAGAAGAGAATATTTTTAAAATACATTAAAAAAAATGATAGGATATATATATATATTAAAATATACTATTTTTTATCCAATATTCAATTTTTTTAAAGTACTACTTCTTATGAAAAGGAAATGAATTATCGTAAGAACACAAGAGGCATCACTATAAAGTGATTACAATAACGGACATCGTTTCTTTCGTGACTTAAATGTGTTACTCTTTTTTTTTATGCATTACGTCCCAAGCCAGGCGTGAAGCCACTAGGATGCAGGGGGTTGCAGAAGATTTGGAGCAAGAGCAGATAGGAGTGATAGAAGAAAGAATGAGGAGATGGATAGTGATAGATCAAAGTAACTGGAGATGTCGATTGACATTACATTTGAATAGTTGGAGATTATAGCTCTCAGGGAAACAGTAGTTGGGAAGGGTGTTCCACAGGCGAGAGGTGCGAGGTAGGAAGCTATTGGAGTAGAAGAGACGGCTACATTTAAAAGTTTCTACAGTGTAAGGGTGGGAGCGGGATGCCAGCCTCGTAGGGCGATTGAATTCATGGAGTCTGGGAACCAGTGAAAACAGCTCCTCGGTGAAATTACCATGAAAATATTTATAGAAAATACAGAGAGAGGCGACGGCGCGTCTGTGAGAGAGCGACTGTAGACGAGACGCCAGATCAGGGCCAATTATATTATATATCCGTCTCTGGATCTTGTCAAGAACTCCGAGGTAAACAGAAGGTACCCCAGATCATATATGGCAGCAATACTCCATGCAAGGGTGAATGGTTGATTTGTATATTTGAAGGATCGATTCCGGGGAGAAGAATTTCCTGGCACGGCACAGAGAGCCAACTTTCCTAGCGGTGGAAGAAGCAATTGACTCAATGTATTTGTTCCATCTCAGGTCAGCAGTCAACGTGAGACCGAGCAGACGCAGAGAGTTGCTCTCAAGAAGTTGACTATGAGACATTCTAATGGGGGGGGGACAGGGAAGGATCTCTATGGTGATTAATAGAGAGTAGTTTAGTTTTTGAGGCGTTAAAGTTGACCAGCCAATTCTTGCCCCAATTAACAACCGATTGGAGGTCCATTCCAAGACGCACAGCCAGGTTAGTTTTGTCACTGACACTAGATTTGTTTTTGAGGCAGGAGTAAACTGTAGTGTCGTCCGCGTAGATGCCAACTTGGGAATGTGTAGAAGCAACTTTCTGTTGCTTCAAGTCTCTTCTCCCTCTGCGAGGAGATTATCCAGCATTCACTGCCATATAGGAAAACGGATATTGCGTAACATTTTAGTATTTTCTTCTTTGTTTCTAACAATATTTTTCTTTATCTTAACATTTGGAAGACATCATTCGCTATCTCATTGTTTATTCGGATTTCAGTGTCACATTTTCCGTCTTCTGTTAAAACATTTCCCAGTTATGTAAATTGTTGTATTTGTTGGTTTTTGTTATCTTCAATTCGTAATTTGCATGTTGGGTGATTCCTTTGCTAACAACAATGCATTCCTTCTTGTTATTGATGTTTAGTCATCTTTTCTCCTTTTTCGCACTACTTTTTTGATCATAGTGTCGGAGATTTAATAACAAAAATGATGGAAACAAAAAGAAAGAGAATCTAAGTGAAATTAGGTATATTGTATCACCAAAATACACACACACACACACACACACACACACACACACACACACACACACACACACACACACACACTTATGACTGATGAGTCCCAAATATTGGAGGAAACGGCCGTCCAGTGCTTTCTGCATTCTGTTGAGGTTTCTTCTAGACTCGATGAATTACTTAATTATCTCAAATCCTCCTTAATTTCTATTATTTGTATATCCGGCTTCTAATGCTCTGGATAGAGCAGCTTGGGGATAGTAGTCGTGGCTCTAGGGGGCTCAATCCTATGGGTAAAGAAAACTTGAATGAGTTCCACCACGGAATTTGTGAATGAACGGCGCAATATCGAGTCTAGTTCGCTATCTTTCCGTCACCGAGGCCTGTTAGTACAGTTGGTATGACGTTTCCTTGTCAATGTAACTGTCTGGGTTTCAATTCTTGGTAGTGGATGCGCACTGCTGATGAGTCCCAAATATAGGACGAAACGGCCGTCTAGTGGTTTCATTGAATTACTTAATTATCTCAAATCCTCCTTAATTTCTATCACACACACACACACACATATATATATATATATATATATATATATTAAACGTTTCGCCCCAAGCAATGCGGGA